GGAAGCAAACTTGAAAAAGGGCAGGGGTCTTTCAGGGAGGGAGAGGGAGAAGGGACTTAACATGTGAAACAAGCTTGTTCCCTAACTAGAACTAATAAACAAAATTTAAAAAAAGAAAGACTGTTCATGAAGAAAAGCTAAAGAAAAAAGGAGAAAATGCAGGGTCAGTGGTGCAGATCTGTAATTCCATAGGGATGAACCAGAACTCCAGGTATTCCTCAGCTACATATTGAATCCCAGACTAGGCAGAGATAAAGGTGTGACTCAGCTGGGACACCTCATGCCCATCATGTAGGAAGCCCTGGGTTTGGTCCCCAGGACAAAATAAACCAGGCTTGGTAGAGAATTCTTGGATCCCTACATTTGGCACATGGAGCCTGAAAGATTAAAATTTTAAGGATATCCACATTTACACACATCATTTAAAAACAAAACCACAAAACCCACTAAGATTAGGTGCACACCTGTAGCTCAAACACTCAGCTGGCTTAGGGTTGCCAGTCCTTGGCAGTCTGTACTACATACAGAAACCTGTGTCTATGTAAGAGGAGAGGAAAACAGAAAGGATTTCTCATTTGAGAGGACTGATATTTATGTCAATGTTTAGTTTAAGAGTCCCAAGCTTTGGAAAAGAGAAGGAAATACCATGAGTATAGATAGGATCTAGACAGTATTTAGGAACAACAGGTAAGACAGGACTGGAGAACTGTACATAAGGAGTGTGTGTGTGTGTGTGTGTGTGTGTGTGTGTGTGTGTGTGTGTGTGTGTGTGTTTCCATGACACATCCATGACCACTTGGGATGTATGTGTGTGTGTTCTTGTCTGTCTGTCCTCACCCTTTGAGCACACTGATAGACCAGAAATATTCATCCAGTGCTTTTACAACTTAATTATTTTGTTTATATCTTCAGTCAAGGTTTCTCTGTGTACACCTGGCTGTGAAGGAACTTGCTCTGTAGCCCAGGCTGTAGACGAGAACTCACAGAGATCAGCCTGACTCCACCCCAAATCCTGGGTTTAAAGGGGTGCTCCACTACAAAGGGCTTCCACCTTAATGTTCAAATCAGGTGTCTCACTGATATCAGGCCAGCAAGGTCCTAATTCCTGCCTCTCTTCTCCACAGTCCTAAGATGACACAGGATCCTGCCACAGCCTGATTTCACAACTCCTTTGTCCATATCTCAGATTTCAAATATTGGGAATGTGCATGTTCTTTGAGAGATGGAATGACACTAATCCTGGAACTCCCTACACTGACCTGGACCTGTTCCTACTTAACAGGGCAGAGTTGTTCAGATCCAGAAATTTGGCACTGGGGAGTTAGACAAGAAGAGGATCCTGCTCCAGGTCAACTTTGTCCTCCTGGGGCAGATGAGACCTTGACTAAACCACAAATGCTCACAGTGTCCATTGCACCTGAGGAGGACTGAGGCAGCAGCACCGCACGAATACAGTCAGCCTGATCTACACACAGACTTTCAGTCCAGGCTGAGTTACAGGGCAAGACTCTGTGTGAACCCTAACCAACAAGGAAAAGAGTTTGTGGCAATGCTATTCCAGTTAACCAAAGTGGACAGAACCAAATTCTGGCTTGACATCTTCAGAACTACAAGTAGAAAGACACAGAAAGGAGACCCTTCAGGCTTTGGAACACACAGAACTTACTGTGATGGTCCTGAATCACCTAAGCACACCACTGGTCCTCCATGGAATCTCTGCTTCCTTTGCCCATACCCCCATTTCCTGCTCTCCCTGCTCTGATCAGCATCTGTGCTGTCCAATTGTAGCTCAACATGCCCGAGGTCACACTTGAAGGCATCCTCTGGGATTGTTCTTTCTGAAGGGACAGGTTTTTAAGTTCACAAGGTTGCCACAATAGGGCACAGCCATCCTCTGTCACAAAGGAGAGCAGGAAAAGAATGAATAAAGAGGGATATTTGCCCCACCTGGTTCTGTGGGTGACCGCAAGATCCCGTTTCTTTGGAGCCAGGGTCTTGCAGGAGTCTTGTCTTCTCTTGGCAGATAGCAGGCAGCAGAACAGGTGTCTGAGGCAGTTCACCATTATTTTCTTGACCCTCTTCCAGCTGGGGCACCTCCTCTTTCCTGAGGAAGCTGGGCCCGCATCCTCAGGCTGGCCATGGGTGATGGCCTCCTCCTGTGTGATGGTGCTTTCCTGAGTCAGGGTCGCTAACTGGGCCATTGTCACTTCCAGAGTGATCGTTGTTTCCTGAATGATATCTTCATGTTTTATGACTGTCTCTTTCTCTGTGATGGACTCAGTCTGAGTCATGCTCACTCCATCAGCCATGGTCACTTCCTTTGTCCTGGTGTCCTCCAAAGTCATGGTCACTTCACGTGCCATGTCCTCTTCCAGGATTATGGTTGGTTCATGTGTTATGGCTTCTTCCTTGGTTATGGTCACCCCCTTTGTTACAGACACTTCCTGGGTTATTGTTGCTTGCTTTGTGATATCTTCTTCCTGGGTTATGGTCACTTTCTCTGTGATGGCCTTTTCCTGGGTTATGGTTCTTTCTTCTGTGATGGTATCTTTCTCATTCATGGCCTCTTCCTGTGTGATATTCACTTCCTCATTAATGTCTTCTTCTTGTGTGATGGTGTCTACCTGAAATATATCCCCAGAGAAGGAGCCTCTGGGGGTTACATTCTGAGCTGTCTCCATGGAGCTCCAGAGTTCCTCTTGGTAACTGCAGGAAGATATGTTGTCTGTTTCACGTGTGGTTTCATTGTGGTCTGGCCTAGAAGAAGCAGTGTACCTTAAGAGAGATGGATGGACACTGGATATCAGGCTGCCACTTGATGGGACCTTTGAATCAGAGAAATCCTCACTCATTTCCTCGCTACTGCACATGAGGAAAAGAGCTCAATGATGGTTTTGGTAGATAGGTAGGAATGGTAGGTCTTCTCTGACTGGCAGAACAGGTGGCAGGCATGCTATGTCTTGTGCCACCCTGCCTGGCATTTTCTTATCTTCCTTCTCCTGGGGTTTAGATGGCAAGGTGAAGTTCAGAATAGCAGGCTCAGTAGCTCTCCTTAGTGGCACAGAGAAGGTGTGATGATCTGCCAGGTCGAAAACATGGCCTGGCTGCATGGGTATCACATGGTGATGGCCGCAGTCTCCCCCAGGAGACTGGTGTTGGAGAATCAGGTAGGTGGCCATCACCTGGTTGTAGTTTTGGTCTCTCAGAGAATCAATGATTTCCTCAGACTTATACCCCATGACTGTCATGGTGCTGACAATGCCAGGGCTTACGGTACCAGGGCTTTTCTGTGTGGACATAGGTTGTGAATGTGCCTTGCTGTCCCTGGTCATGGGGTGCCTCATGATTTGGTCAATGGTGGGCCTCCTGTCCGGGTTGATCATCAGCATTTCGACGATGACATTGAATATATCAATGGAAACATGCTCAGGTATTCTGAAGTTTGCAGCCATGATCTGACACCTCACACCTTCAGAAGAGATAGTCTGGAAGGTAAAGAGCCCGACCACCATGAGGAAGAGGAGCACACCTAAACTCCAAATATCAACGGCGCAGCCATCATAGGCCTTCTCTACAAAGATTTCTGGGGCACAGTAGAGCAGAATGCCCCAGATATCCCTCAGCTTCTGCCCTTGGGTCACTTTAGTAGCAAGGCCAAAATCACACAACTTGGCGTTACCCCTGCAGTCGAGTAGTATGTTATTTGCCTTAATGTCTCTATGGGCAATATGGTTTTCATGACAGTACTGCATTGCAAGGAGAATGTGGGTAAATAGCCTTCATTCCTCACTCTCCTGTAAGGACCCCAGTTCCAGAATGTGCTGCCGAAGAAGATCTCCCTCTGATGCGTGCTCCATCACTAAGTAGGTGGTGTTTCTTGATTGGACCACCTGAAACAACTTAATGATGTTTGGATGCTGGAGAGATTTCATGATGCTGACTTCATTGGCAACAAGTGAGGCATGCTTCATTCGAAGAACTTTCACAGACACACAGGTTACAGTAGGAACATGGAAGGCCAGTTTCACCTCAGAAAAATGTCCATGGCCCACAGTCATCATCATCTTATAGTCAGTCAAGAAGGACTCCTCATAGGAGTAGCAGGCCTCCCTGCCCTGCTCCATGATCAAGTCCTCGGTGAGTTGATATGGCTAGACCAAATTCACAATGGGGAAGTTTAAAGAAAAGGTTCATATCAGGCACAGGAGATTGTTGATAGCTACACATTACTATGTCCCAAAGAAAGATACTCAGAGACATTGCAGACAACCTAACCAGGTCCTTAATGCTCACAAGAAGAAAGCACCTTCCACAGCAGTGGACTACAGAATATGACACCAATAGGGTTGTCAGGAATAAACCGGAAACTCATAGAAGAAAACAAAGCACACAGAAGCTAAGAGCCAATCACTGGGGAGGACCATGATCCTCTCACTGTACCCAACACTCAGAGTCAAGGGTCTAGTAAAACCAGAAGCAAGAACAGTTGCCAAGTCAACAGATATCCCAAAACCCAGAGTTACTGCGTGGAGAGATGGCTCAGTAGCATTCACTCAGAGGAGGCAGCTCCTGACTACATTGGGATGTTGTGACAAAATGCTTTGTTCCATGATATCCCAGGGCCTGGAACTAACATCTGTTGGGCTTAAAGATGTCATTCATCACATGATCCCCATTAGGCCTGAGACTTCTCAAGAAAGCCCAGGATCCCAGAGACAGTGGCCTGATACATTCCTAATTAGCAAGAAAATATTTGTCAGCCAGTACCCTAAAACAACAGGTGTGGGAGATGGAGCTATACCCTGGCTGCCTAGGCCTGGCAGCCTAGGACCTTCTTCTCTCAAACAAAATGACTTAGTTATGTCACTTATAAACAACAGAAATTGGTAGGTTGTGTATCTGGACATTGGCAAAATAAGATCAAGAACCTGGTGACTGAGTATAACAGGACTGCTCTCTAATCTAACTGGTACTTTGGATGTATTCCCACATGATCAAGTAAAAGCATGAACTCAGCCTATGAAGCGATTTCTTAAAGGTCACCTCTTATGCTCTGTGACAAATCTTTAATGTTCCTGAGTCCCCATTTGTTAATACAGTGGTTTTAGGATTAAAGTTTCAACAGGGACCTTGCAGGACACAGATACCTGTCTCTCTCTCTCTCTCTCTCTCTCTCTCTCTCTCTCTCTCTCTCTCTCTCACACACACACACACACACACACACACACACACAAATTCTCTCTCTCTCCTCCCTCTCCCTCCCTCCCTCTCTCCCTCTCCCTCTCTCTCTCACACACACACACACACAAA